ATATAAAATTATTGATATTTATATACAAGAGAGAGAGAGAGAGAGAGAGAGAGAGAGAGAGAGAGAGAGAGAGAGTACGTGCCGAGTATGAAGATGTCGCTTGAAATGCAGTCTCTTCATGAGTGAATACTCAATTATGTATGCGTCTGTCACATTTGAACGTCAGGCTAGAGTTAGGACAAAATGTACTTCGCCGACGATTCAAGTATTGATTGAATCGGAAAATTCTTCGAGCTACTTTTTCTCCAGGATGCGATACTGACAATTGAGTACAATTCTACAGCTGAAGCTGTGTGTTCGATACGTGATGATGTCGTTTATGCCTCGGTGGGGCAACTGGCGGACTCTCCACCAGGAGTCTCCTCGCCATGAGCCACTTTTTGGCTCTACCAGCGTGATAGTAGTACGTGTAAAGCAACGCCATAGCAGCCAGCACCACCAACAGGCACGTACCAGCGATGATAACACTAAACAACCAATATGGCCCAGATCTCGGCAACGGGCTCGTGTCCGTCGGCAATTTGTCTGTGGATGTGGGACTGGTTGGCTGCCTTGGTGGTAACGTTGCCTCGTTATCACCAATGACGATATCAGCGCAGGCTCGAAATTCTTCCTGAGGCCCACACCCCACGGCTCCTAAACATCCATGTGACGTTTTGATTTGATATATAGAAAAATTCTATGTAGTATTTTACTTATTATATACATACACAAAAAAGATATTCAATTTTATTACACACACACACATACACACACACACACACACACACAACACACACATTATATGTTTACAATCATTCTATAATTCTATAACACATTGTTTCCAGATCAATCAGATTTAATTTTTATAATAAAAAGATCACGAATTGTTAGTGTGCCAATTATTAATTCACATGGAGTAAACTAAACTCGCTTTGCTTTACCAAACGAAATCATCCAATAATGATGTTATGCCAGAAGAGTTGCAACTCTCTTGAGTCATTCTTATGTAGAATAAAATAAT